GTATAAGAGACAGATATATATATATATATATATTGAACTTTTTTTGACAATCTTTAATTTTAATACTAGATTGATTTTGAAAATGTTGAGAGGTATAAATATAAAATAACAAATACATATTGTCAAATTTTGGCAAAAGTATAATGGTCAAGTCGGTCTTGATTAGGCCTACTTGCAATCAAAATTTAAACGCTTATATTAAAAGTGAAGACATTAATTTTTTTTCAAATTATGCATGTGGTATTTCTCGGCTGAGGAGTCATTTTTTCAACCACGGTGAAAAATGTGTATTGTATAGAGACAGTGGCGTACCTAAGAGTCAAATGGGGATGATGTAGGGAATGTGAAGGCGCTGTTGTGGCGATGGAGTGGGGGGGGGGGGTGGTGTTTCGATGATTTATTTGTGGGGTGATATTCGGTGATTTTTATTTCTTCAACAGGCCTTTTTTTGCTTCAGTTTCAGTGAATAGGTGGGGGGTGGGGGAGTTTCTTTTCGGGGCGCCCCATCCCCTCTTGTATTCCCTAGAGCCGCCACTGTATGGAGACCATTCCAAATTTGATATTTATTTATATTTTAGTCAGCTTATATTTAATCATATTTTTTATGGTATCGATAAATTCTATCACCCAGAATGTAGAAACTGCAATCACAACTACATGGCTATACTAATTAGTGAATTATGGATATATGTATATGAGGGCCATTTTGGATGTCATTTTGGAATTATTATTTTTTTGAAATTACTGTATTATTTAATCATATCAGATCAAATTTGAAGTGAGCACAATTTGAAAAAAAAAACAAAGACAAAAACGAGACAAAAAGTACATAATTTATGACTATTTTAATGGTTTTGGCGGCCATCTTGAAAAAAGCACTGTTAGGTAGTGCAATTTTGGCCAATGTTTACGTCCTCTTCTCTTCTAAACATTATGCTACGGAAAACATCTGAAAAATGTTTTCTTGCAATTGTGTTATGGGTCATGTAACTACTCCTGCTGTTTTGTACTTAAAAAAAAAACCTTTACGTAAAAGGTCATAACCTTTTTAGTGACTCTTGAAACCCTCATAGATAGTTTCTGCTCAAAAAAACTTTGTAAATAATTTTACCACTTTGGCCAAAAAACTGAGGTTTACACCCTAACTAGTTTTCAAAAAGTATGTTTGTAGTGCATCATCCGTGGCATGGAGCATACCTGAAGAAAATTACGTTGAATGAATTCAAAGGATTCCAAAGATGGCTTCCGAAATGTATTCATGTTGGCCTAGTGTAAAATAAATATTACTTCTCCGACGATATAGAAAATCCTGAACAATATTTAAAAAAAATGTAGGCCTATATATTAAAGACATACATTTTATAGTGTATTGTGGTCTGGGACCATGAACGGTGGTACACTGGAATGTAGTCCCCGAAAAAATGGTCCCTTGTAAAAAAAGGCCCCGTATAAATAGGCCCTGGAAAAAATGGCATATAATAATACTATAATAATTAAAATAATAAACCACCCGAGCCAAATATGTTGGCGATTCTAATTGGATCGCGACTTATAAAATTTAGTTAAGTAGTGCGTGTGTAAAGAAGATGCGATTAAACTATCCGGACATCTAAAATTAAAACATTGTCAAATGTACATTTTTATTCCAAAGATTCTTATTTAACTATAAAAGTTAAATATAAAAAAGTTAATTTATATACACGTGTATACGTATATATATATATATATATATATATATATATATATATACGTATATATATACACGTATATATATATAGGGCCTATATACTTTTTAAGTCATGTATCATGCATAGGAACGTTGACGCCTGCAAGGCTCTGGTTACTTTTGGCATCACCTCTTTGCACACCCTGGATTCATGTAAGTAGAAATTTCATAAACCATTTGTTTCATTACATAGGCCTTATAGACAGGGGTATACATAAGATATTTAGTAATAATAGACTGTCCTTGTCCTGTTAAGTCCCGCCCTTGGATATTGTCGATAAGGTCACACAAGAAGAACGTAGGACTACGTAAACCTGCTTGTTTGTGGGACATGTGCGTATTCCTGGTCCTAACAGTAACGCGTTGCTCTGACTGGTCAGATATTTTTGACGCTTTTTGTACAAATTGTTCGTTAAAGTGCACTTGAATACTGAGGGCTGTATACATTGTGGCATACAATATGCCATATGGTATATGTGGCATGTTGTATACATGCTGCAGAGTAGGAGGAGTCAAGTCAAGTGATCTCCTTATCACTAACAATCATTTAATTCCCTTAAAAAATATGCTAATGTACCTTTGTTCTTTATTTTACACATAAATTGGTTTTAAGTGAACTATGCAATAATCGCTGTTCACTCCGTGACCAACAACCAACATCTACTTTGAAGTGTTCGCTACCTAAAAAAATCTTGTTTTTGCCTTCGACCGTTTCTAAATCTGCAGAAATGTAAGTACTGTATGTAGGCCTAACCTATAAACTTAAGCAGGGGTGGAAGGTGATTTGCTCAATATGTGACAAATATTAAAACTAATTTAAATTGGTCTAAATATATTTATTTTACATAGCCGTATGAAGCAATTAGAGTAAAATTTAAAAATGGTCTGCAAAAATAGCCTATCCTATATTTTCAAAATTTTAAGTCAGTCAGGCTTGGTCCGCGCAAAGTAAGTCTCTTGTATTTCATTATAAGTCTCAATTATTAAGTCTCATTCCACTTCGGCGAAAAAGGACGATAGTCAGTGGCTGATTCTGGGACTAGTCCCCCCCCCTCTCCCACCAAATTTTTAAAATATAAAAATTGAGGTGGCTATAAACTCTATCTGTAAATGTCCCTCCCTATATTACGTATTCCTGGATCCGTCGCATGTAAGTTAAGATCGATGTTATATCCATGTCGAGTAGTTATTCTTAAGTCAAGTTTCAGGGATCTTAAACAACTTAGTGTACAATTATTTACTATCAAATTATTAGATGTGTCGCGGAGGGAAACCAAAACCTGGGTCCCAGAGAAAAAAGTTTGGGAAGCGGAGATCTATATTAACCTGTCTCTTATACACATCTAGATGTGTATAAGAGACAGCTCATGCGCTGAACACCACCCCTATATTTCGGTATCTAGAACTTGGGCCCAATTTATGAATTTATGAATTATTTACAATTTATTACTACTTTACTGAAGTAATGTATAGTACCATATCCTTTAGTATTCTGGTATTTCGTCTGAAATTATATACTATGTATTATACAGATAAAATATAGCTACCGTACTATTGTCATTAGAATAGCAAACCGAAGAGATTCCTATAGCTGTGTTTGTATAAAACTCATGAGGGGCCCTCCAATAGGAAGATTTTTTAATATATATTTTTTAAGATATTTGGAAATTGGCCTCAAATTTATGAATACCGTAAAGTGTAGAATAAAAGGGGTAGACACAACATTTAAATTTAGTTGGGATATATAATTCATAGCTACATCAGCCATGGTGGGCCTGATATAAACACATTTTGAAAATTGGCATCCCTAGATGCCCAGAAATAGCTGCTGACAACCTGCAAAACAGCTAATTTTATTCCAACCCTATACAGGATTTAAAGTTAGTGGAAGTGGACTACATACCACCGATCTCAGCTCCACCATGGTAGAAAAATGGCGCCTCTACGGGAAACAGCATATGCACATTCAAAAAAATGAGGTGTTCAAATTTTTATTACAAAAGTTTTTTTTCTTTTTTTTTTTGTGGGGGAGGGGGACATTTCTTGAGTCTAAGTCTACCACCAGTACCACCATAGGTGCTGAGGTGCGAACCTCTAGATGGCCGGAAATAACACTTTTTAGTGGCGGGAATTTGAAAAAGAAGGGGATGACAGAGAGGGACTTTCACAGAATGAGGGTCTATACTAAGAAGAATATTTATGATTATGGCACCTCTAGAGGCCGGAAATGGCACTCAGACTCAAAATTTGAGTAGAATTTTTTTTTTTCTCATTTTGTTTTTTCAAAATGTTTTTTTTTTTTGGGGAGGGGGGTGGTGGGGAGTGGAGAGGGCGACTGGGCCCCATAAAATCCACCACTGCTTTTATATAGTAAAATTCATCATCATCACATCACCATTTTATAGTCACAATTATGAAGTGCTAACAAAATTTCTCATGATCTTTTATCAGCGATTTTCAGCAACCATAGAGTGCCATCCATAGAGTGAATAAGTGCCATCATTAGAAAATAAAACTTAAAAACATTAAAAACATTGTCTTTGATGTATTTACTTTACCTACTTCAAAGTCGTAAGTCCACACACAGGGGTGGGAAAATATGGGGAGATAGCACCTCATTGCCGGATGACCTTTTTATATCCTTTTTATATAGTAAAATTCATCATCATTGATCTAATTATTCGCTGCCATGTACCATAGAAAATAAAACTTAATTGTCTTTTATGTATTTACTGAACATCACCTACCATACTTCTTGTATTGAAAACTAATCTTATCTTATTTAACACGCTTTTTCTCATACTTTACAAATTATAATAAAGGCACGCGCACTCGAGTTGTGTATAATAGGTAGGCCTAATTCAGGAGTTTCTGAGCAGAGGCACCGGTATCTTGCTATAAAATAAGATGTAGGCCTACTCTGGCTGTACAGTGGTCTTTCGTTAAAACTTGGTGAATTATGCAGTTCTTTCCAACAATTTCCAGGCATCTTCTTGACATGAATTTACATTGTGGGAGAAAAGTGAGGGGACCAACTCTCTCCTAAAAATATGTGGGGCGTGGGGAACGTGTCCTCCCTGTACCCTTAAAATGGTATTTTGAAGCTAGTACGTTACTAAAAGATTCAATCTTAATATATTTGGTTTCATACGAAAGCTATGAAAATTATCTATCAAATGATGTGTGCGATGACAAGATGTGTATAAGAGACAGAGCCTGAGCTGATCAATGGGATACTCAGTGCATACAATTAGAACATAAGCATAAAAATTAAACTTGATCTATAACATATACAATTAATTAAATTAAAGCAGGAAAAAAATTAATAATAATAAAAATCAGAAAAAAGCATATATAGGCCTACAGTATATAAATTATATAAAATAATGATTTAAGGAAACATTAAAGCAAAAAAAAAAAAAAAAAAAAAAAATACATGTATATTCATAAACGATTTTTTTATATGTCCCAACAGCTACAGATATTGAAACATGGAATTAAAGTACGCCCTGTCTATCAGAGGATTATTGAAGATCATCGAGTTTGTAAGTTCTTTTTTACTGTATTCGTCCATGATGGTTTGTACATTGGCCCACAAAGTAACAAGTGCATTACAAAATTATCATGTAGGCAATGGTGGCGTCAGAATTTGTTCGAAGGGGGTCTAGGAGGCGATGTCCTAAATAGAGGGGGGGGGGGTGCGTAGTTCGGTTGGGTGCCAGCGAGCCCTTGTATTTTGCCCTACATTACGTACATGATATGCAAGTGCGATGTTTCTATTTCAACTTATGTATTAATAATTTAAGAATTTTGGCCTGGCAACGTTTGGTTCGTAGGCCTACATTACGCCTTATAGACGTGTGGCCATAAAATTTAAAGAGCTCAAAAATGTTTTTTGTAGCCATCATTTGATACAATTGCTGGCAACAAGGTAAATCCTCATCACCAGCGCTTGCCTCACACGGAATGGACATTTGCCAAGCTGAAGTCTGGATTTAAGTGCCAATTTTGACCACATAACGGCAAATTTTACACGTTTTTACCCAAAAATCGTGTTTTTAAGCTAGTCTGCCACTGGAAGATTCAATCGGAATACATTATTAGGTATCATACGAAAGCTATTAAAATTATCTATTTAATGATGTATGTCATGACACATTATATTAATCTTGTGACCAGAAACTTGCCAAAAACCTTAGTTTTTATGACGCTTTTGGCAAAATTTAATAATACATGTTTTATTAAATAAATACGAAAAATACTAAGGTTGTTGGGTTGATGCTTTCTCAAAAACTGACCATTATACAAAATAAAACACCTATACAAAAATTCGGACATTATCCATTTGGTATTTCGAAGTTATAATATATCAAAAGTCATCTCTCGCAAAAATCTAAAATGTTTACCTTAAATCTTTTTTACCTTAAAATGGTATTTTGAAGCTAGTACGTTACTAAAAGATTCAATCTTAATATATTTGGTTTCATACGAAAGCTATGAAAATTATCTATCAAATGATGTGTGCGATGACACATGATGTTAATGTTGTGACACAAAAATTACCTAAAAAAACATATTTTTGTTAAATTAAATAATACATTTATAAACTTTTTCGTCTCATACTTTTATCAATCATAAATATATCAAATATATTCAAATCTTCCATTGACAGACTAGATTTAAAATACAAAATATATTCCGATTGATTCTTTTATTAACGTACTAGCTTCAAAATACCATTTTGGGGTGAAAAAAGTTTACAATTTGACATTTTTGTGAGAGATGACATTTGACATACTGTAACTCCGGAATACAGAATGCATAATATCTGAATTTTCATAGGTGTATCATACGAAAAGTTTGTTAGCTTAGTTGTTTCTCTCTCTCTTTCGTGATTAAACCTTCACCTTTATTTCATACAATTTCCACATACATTTGAAAAGATACAAATACAAAGTGTTTATTCGAAGTAAAACAACATTCCAGCTTTGGATATTTTTAAGTTTTAGTTTGTATTTTTCGCATTTATTTAAATAATACATGTATTATTAAATTTTGTCAAATATGTCATAAAAAATATATTTTTAGCAATTTTTTTGTCACAAGATTAATATAATGTGTCATCACATATACATTCGATAGATATTTTTAATAGCTTTTGCATGATACCAAACGTATTGCAATTGAATTTTTCAGTGACGTACCAGTTTCAAAAAAACAATTTTTGGGTAAAAACGTAAAAATTCAGCGTAGCAACAGCCCATACCGTGTGAGCCAAGTCCTGATGATGAGAATTCACTAGATTTCCAGAAAGTAACAGATAAAAAGTTTTTTAGCTTACTATCTCATAATTAACATGAATTTTTAAATTTAGCAAAAAAAAAGTCAAAAATAATTTTTGGTACTTTTTGAGTCATAACATTAACATAAACATAATTTGACATCATACACATCAGTTGATAGATAATTTTAATAGATTTCGTATGATACCAAATATATTCAAATTGAATCTTTCAGTAACATACTAGCATCAAAATACCATTGTGGGGTAAACAAATTGTAAAATTTGCAATTTTTGCGGGAGATAGGCCTAGCCTTTTGAATACCAAATGAAAGCTGTTTTAAAGTTTTATAGGTGTTTTATTTTGTATGTGGTCGTTTTTGAAAACGTATCAGGTGAAAGAGTTATTAGATTAGTATTTTCTTATTCATTTAATAAAACATGTATTATTAAATTAGCAAAAAGGGTTATAAAAAACGTGTTTTTGGTAAATTGTGGGTAATACAATTAACATACTGTAATGTAATACACATCATTCAGTAGATAAATTGTACTAGCTTTCGTATAATAAAAAATTGAACCTTTCATTGACGGACTACCTCTAAAAATATGGGGTAAAAAAAAAAGTAAAATTTGCAATTTTCTGGTAAAATTTGGTACTTAAATCCAAAATTCAGCGTAGCAACAACACATTCTGTGTGAGGCAAGAACTGGTGATGAGGATTGACCTTGTTGCTAACCTGCAACATATGATGCTTACGAAAAAACATTTTTGAGCACTTTCAGTCTGATGGCCACCAGTCTATTAGATCAGTATCAGAATATTAACAATTATGACATCAGATTCAATGTTTTTTGCCGATTTTAGTCCTTAAATGTTCTAATTTTTACACTCTTTTGGAACAGTGGCGGCGATAGGATTTCCCCGACGGGGGACCCAATGTCTCCGAAGTGAGTGGGGGCTGTTTTCTCCGGAACGAGAGCAAAGTAGGCGTGGTCAAACGTCACTCAAAAAAGTGGTCCAGGGGCGCGAATCCCCCAAAATTAGGGTATGCTCCCAATTCTGGGGGGGGGGGAGGAGGGGATGTAGCCCCTAGAACCTCCACCCCTTCCCCCTCCCCCACGTAACTATTTTGGATACATAGAAAATTATTATTGTACAGCAGTTTGTTCACCTTCCCAACGCATTATGCTGGTACACGGTACCCATATTTACCCCTGGGTAGAGGCAGTTTCGTACCTAGGGGGTGCGCCGGGGCGAACGCCCCTCCAAATATTACTCACTTCCCCCTCCTAAAAAATGCGTTCAGGTATTTAAAATCACCATATTTGGCGAATTAGCGCCCCTCTTCGAACCTCCACTTCACCTTCGCACCCCATGAGCACCCCCATTTCAAGACTTCTAGATACGCCACTGGGTAGAGGGACACGTCAACACACGAACAGGAGATTGACAGTCAACACCACTGCGCAAACCGCTTCGTTTAATTTCAGATTGTTCTTATCATCGGATTTGCCCTCTTTCTCGACATAAGCATCGATACCGAGGAAATGTGCAGAAGAGAAGGATGGTCTTGCAAACTTCCCATTGAGCTTTACTTATTTTTGGTGTTTACAATCGTAGCTGCAATTCTGACTTTGGTTACTTTCGTTGATCATCTTCTTAACCCCGCATCGATGAACCCGATTACAGCAAAAATCGCATATTTGGTATGATATTCGATATTATTCGGTATTGCGGTCATTTAATGTTGATACATGTATAATAGGGAGTTTTCGATTTGTGCGACGACGCGACGCCAGAGCGGAATCGCTAATGCGTGACCGTCCTACCTGGCGTCCTAGGTTCTCTGCATACGTATATTTGGCCAAGTTGCATTGCAGAATCTACTCGACGAGGTGACCTTAACGTTCTCGCATGCGCAGATGACTTTTAGTGACGTCATTACGTTCTACGCCCTACCGTCGTGGTGCAATGGAAAGCTCCCTAATGATCCTTTTTTATTCCTCTATTATTGAGAGCTCCCTCTATTATTGAGAGCCCCCTTTTGTTTGGAAGTTATGCACACGAAAAATCGATTAAAACAGAATACAACGTATGAATCGGGCTTGAAATATTCTAAAACTAAACAGCCAACTAGATGATATCTGTGAGGTTAAAATTATTGATAAAGTAAAAGTATCTTTACAGACAGTTAATCTAAACGCATCTTTTACTTGGTTACCCTAGGGTAAAAGGTTAAAATCACAAACATGTAGAACAATAGATATCTCCGCTCATTCGTACCATTAGAATTCTTAATCATAATAATATAAAATAAATATTAGGACCTAATTATAATTATATTGTTGTTGCTTTTTTTTTTGCATTATATTTTGCGATGTGATGTGCCAACTGATTTCCCGAAAGGCACAAATAAATAAATCTTTAATCTTGATCTTGGTCATTTTATTATAATCAATAAGGGCTATGACATTGTTTTTTGCGTCGCAGATGTGTAAAATAGCATTATTCAAAGGGGTTGTTTTTTCTTTGTATTCAAAGGGACTGTGGACCCATTATCTAGTAACATTTAAATAAAGGTAGTGGATATATTTACGTTTCCGTAAACAAATGATGGGATGATAGGATTACGTCAAGCCGAATTGTACGATTAATATGAATTTTATTTTTTAAATGTCTTAGGAACTCATGTCCTGTGTTATATCAGCTATTCTGGTTCTGATTGGTTCCTCATGTCTAGTGTCTGTAATCGCAAAAGAAACGGTACAGGATGTCACAGGCTGTGTAAGTTACTGAGTCTATAGGCCTATGTACATTAAGTATTTACCATTTAACTTTAACGATGTGTCTAGAGGCTTTCTAGTCAAAACGGCAATGACCAAAACGGCAATAAACCAAAACGGCAACACTTTTTTACCAGAACGGCAATGGACCAAAACGGAAAAAAGTCAAAACGGCAATAAACCAAAATTTTTAAGGTGCTAATTAACTCGTATTCACCTCGATTTGATGGGGTTTTTTTTAAATGTTTGACAAGAACGAAACTCAAATAAGATTAACAGACAATTCTGATTCAATATTTATTTTGGTATATCATTAGTTCAGTTTATTTCACATCATCAAAATATATATAATATGACAATAAAATATGATGTAAGGATGGCCAATGAAAGTTTTCTTTAAGAAGTAAAACTTATTTCAAATGTAGTCCTACATAAAACTATACATGAAAATGTACAACGATTAAAGGTAAAAATTTAAATATATCAAAAAAAAACATTTTCAGACAAAATGAGGCTAAAACCATTTACCGTATGTTATAGAAGTAAAAAACGTGAAAATAATAATAATAATAATAATAATAATAATAATAATGATAATTAATAATAATAATAATAATAATAATAATAATAATAATAATAATAATAATAATAGGCCTAATAACAATATAAAAACATAAAAATTCAATAATGACCAAAATTTAAACACTTGACATGCTATTCTGGAAATTGTCATTTTGATCTATTGATCCATTTTAGAGATATTTAGGTCTGGGACCTAATGGCCCTCAAATGCACGCCCGAATTTGGATCGTCACTAACACTTTATAATTTCTTCATTGTATGACTTGGTTAATCTTTCACGAAAGTTTCATTCAGATCAGTTGATTTGTTTTTGAAATATCTGGTCAGGGACGTTTTCCTTTGAATGGTCCTCATATTCAAACCCTACTCCGGATGGTCACCAAAATTTAAGCATTTCTTTATCGAAACATGACAAACTAACATGGAGAGTGTAATCACCCTCCATATACTTTATACAGTCAATAAAGTGCGCCCTCTCTAATGAGATTAGTTTTTGTACTTCGCATTGTAATTTAGATCCATTGATGATTTTTAGAGATATTTAGGTCTGGAACCTTACGATTTTGAATGACCGTCAAATTCATATCTACATTTGGATCTCACCAACACTTAATTATTTCTTTCTTGTAATTTGGTTAAACTTTCACGAAACTTTCATTCAGATAAATTGACACATTTTTGAAATATCTGGTATAGAATGTTTGCTCTTAAATCCCTTTAATGGGTCCGAGGTCACATCCACACCGTACTCCGGACCGTCACCAACATTCAATTGGATATTAACATGGGGTCTTTTTCCCGCTTTTAATGCTTAAAAGCATTAAAAGCGGGGAAAAGACCCTATGTTAATATCCAATTTGCCTACAGACGAATGTGCCAATTTCAAGACGATTCAGAAAATTATAAATGTCAATTCATATAAAAGAAAAAAATTAATACGACGTAGTGTTTCTGTTCTGTTCATTAACAGTCAGGCGCAGATCCAGAATTTCGCGCCGTTCGCCTTGGCGAATGTCAGACCCAGATAAAGAGTAATTGACTGCAGCGGAGGATAAATACAGTGCAAGGAAAATCTTTGAACTTTGGACTGAAGAAAGACGACGACAGTAAAACATTTATTAAAAACTAGCATATAGTAAATATATAATATCCTCAAAAATACTTATACCTACCTATCTACACTTTTTAATGAACATTCGAGAGTGCTATTCTGGGTGCCTATAGTAACATCATTATTTTGTTAACCTTAGCCCCAGTCATTGTGGGGCAGAGGGCCGAAATTGACTTTCTATCTACAGGTAGGCCTACTTGAATATAAGAAATGTATATTATATTCTATCATCCCTTTGCAGTATATTGACATTAAATTTTAAAATTTATAATTTGAATACCATAAAAGTTATAAAAGTAACTGTAATTTATATCAGAAAGATGGTTCAATAAAAACCATATCGGCTGGCTTTTCTCATTCATATGTGAGCCTGTATTGTATTATTTCTTTTAGGGGTGCGGATTCCTAGCATTTGTTCTGCTGACGGTGGAAAGTGCTTTCCTGTATCGTACGGCAAGCTCGATTTCTGGATAAATTGGCAACTGTTCATCACGGCAAAAGACACACTTGAACCGCACAGGCCTAGTTGAAGCCATCCTGAAAAAAAGTTGTTTCCTTCCACTGGTGGCCAAAATAATATCCAGGAGGGAGGATTGTAGAAGGGTTTTTTTTTACCGCCGCTTGCCCCGGCCCCTGCATGATATCAACGCACATTTCATTTGTTTTTTAGTATGCCCGAAAAATTAAATCACATTTTAGCGGTGTTTGTTCAAAATCGATATTAAGCATGTGTTGACATTTAAATGTTGATAGGTGAAAGGGTTCATAACTCTAATACTCTGAGTCGGTTAAAGGTTTTTAAATCGATTTTGTCGTTGCATGGCAATGCATTTATTTTTTTTTTTTTGATTTTCTCACCACGCCAGGGATCCTGTTATATAATTTTTAAAAAAAATGTTAATGGATCACACAATCGAATGACTTGAATGGACGAATAAAGTGCCTAATCTACAAATTTATTAATCAAAAATCGATATCAAAACATGGTTATTGTTGTTAACCCAGGGCTCTATGTATATATTATACAAACAGCTGTCCTTCTAGGGCTTTATTTCAGAAGGATCATTTTAATTTTGTCTTAGTATTCATGATTGTTGGTGGAATTCTTCTTTTTCTCTTTTGTTGTCGGGTGGACGTAAAAAAATATATATATATTGGCCTGGTGTTCTGCTTGCCTTTTTTATTATTGCCACAAGTCTACGTTTTTATTATTTTTCTCAATTAAATCAGGTATGGCGCGCACAAAGTGTAATAAGAGTTAGTAACCCAAAATTAGGACCTGCAACCCAGGCTAGACCAACTGCAGTTTAGCACATCTGGACGCTTTGGCCTCTACCTAGCATAATCTCTACCTATCATAAATCTTAAAATATTCTTCAGCGATATATTCAATTACTGACCATATGCTCCAAGATGTCTCTCATAATGTTATACCTGTAGATGGGAAAGGTGTATCTGTAACTCATGTATAATTATATTATTATGTGGTGGCCTCTTAGATTTGTTTTTAGAGTAAGTGGTTATCCATTAGTAGCCCTATATGTCAGTTAGTTTGTTTATATTAATATTTTTTTCATTTAAATTATCCATTTAATTTTCATAATGCTTTTTAACTTTTAATGTTTTTATGTGATGGATTTTAACGCTTGTCATTAATATAAGCCTATATAAACGCATAATAATGTGACTTGATTTTACTATTTTATTTAATTATTTCGGAATAAAGTTATACTTGAATTCAATTGAATCTGTACCGTATTCAGCTATGAATACTATGCTTAGGGCGAATCAATTTTATTTTCTGCCTATTAATTGTTCGTGCGAAATCACCATTAAAAGAATACAGAGTTGTCTTTAATACTGTGTCCGAACATTTCTGAAAATAGGCTCCCATTGCTAGAGTGTGTCTATGCCATACTGCTTTAGTAATTATGTTTACTAATAAAATATCCACATGGGAATTCGGTTATGTGTTTTTTTTTTGTTTTTTGTAAGACTTTGGTCAAGATACAGTAATAAGGTACAGTACTTAAGATGACTCATGACCCATCATACACGTACCTCCACCGGATTTACAGGGTTAACCTCGACCGAAATTCACTTTCAGCCATATTTAACTGCCAGACGATAACATAGTGTCTATACACCATAGACATGAAAACGTTTACAAATACTTCAGAATCATCAGGATCATCTACACTCAAATAACCAGATTCAACGCTGCTTTTTTCACTTTCAAAGACCATGCTTAGGTCCCATAAAAAAATCATTAGTTTATCACCCAATCAAAGAATAAAAACTGATGAGGGAGGGGGGTGAGGGGGGGGGGGGTGTTTAATTTAATTTATTTTTTTTTCTGCTAACCACGCCCTCATTTTACCGATGTTCACAAGTAGATCAATGCTTAGGGACACATATATATAAAAATCATAAAAATGGAATCAAATTTATATTGAAAAAATATGCTTCTGTTGTGCTAGTAAACATATTTGCTAGAAATCCTGAGCTATCCAAGTGAAAAAAGATGGAAAAACAACCGTTTGAAATAAAAATATATGTTGATTGAGAACAAAAAAATCTGAATTTCCCCAAAAGTGATGAGGGAGGGGGTGATAAACTAATAATGTTTATGGGGCCTTAGCTGTACGTAAACAGTGTCTAGGCATAGGGATACTGTATTGTACAAATAATCCATTTTCACTGTATCACACTGTCTCGACCGACCACCAAGAGATTTGGGCCCAGTTACTATACGCGGTAGGTTTCACTTTAGAATCAGTGGAACTCGTTTGTTTCCGATTGGTGCATACAAAACATACAAACCGAAAATGTTAACTAAAACAAATACAGTAATACAATTCGAATGAAATGAAGGTAACCACAAAGTTATCCCTTGTGATTATCTTATGAAGGGACCTTAGTTAGACTATTAGAAAGTTTAAATATTAAAAATAAAATTCAAAATATATAACGAATGTAATGTGATACAACAAAAATATACATAAATCCGGTAGAGCTGAAAGTGTGATTAAACATTACTCTACCGTTAACATGAGGTCAGTCTTAATATTTACAAATAATATATACTAATGGTATTATTACGTGGTATATAATTCGGACCGAAGTCGCCATGCATTTGTTAATTTATTGTTTACAGTTCTTTTAGAGGCCTACAATTTGACATTTTGAAATTTAGTTATCATATAAATTATAAAAATGAAGTGCCTTTTATATCAATGACACCATTAATAAAATTAGTCCAATGTATTTTTATGTCATTATTATACAACTGATTTTGAATTTGTTTAAATGATTTAACTCCAATGTTATCAAGTTCTTTACAATTAAATAAAAAGTGGTCTTTGTTTTTCTTTTATATTTTCTTTACACAATTTACAAAGTCCATTATTGTCAGTTGACCAAGATGATTCGAATTTAGGGGCTCCTTTATACATTATAGTTTTAAAGTATATATTTTGTTGGGCCCTGATAAGCCAATCTTTGTCTTCATTATTCGTGTGGTTAATTGTAAACGTTTCGGACCAGCCATTAGCTGGTTCACAATTTAAAGAGGTCTCCAATTATAGAGGGCTCATGTCAGTTGTGAACTGATAAACATTAATATGCAGTGTTCGCTGCTTGTGGATGAACATGTTATAGGATTAAAATTATTTTAATCGAATATATTATGGGAATTTGTTATGGAAATGTATAGCACTACCTACTATAAATATGCCAGTTCTGTCTGGTTTTGTAATAGCAAAACTGCATTAGATAAGATAAAAAATCTTCAATGGTAAAGACTATTTTGGCTGCCAAAGAGGCACGTTATTAGATGGGAATCATTATCATCACAACAAAATAATATTAAGGCAGATTATTTTAACCGTTTAAAGAATGATGGCAGGTGGCCAAGATTAATTTTTAAGGCAATAATGAAGATAGACTAAAAATGTTGTTGGTTCTCACATTTAAAATCATATTTGAGAAAAAAAGGTTTCTATAAATCTGTACCAAAGATCTGATAAACATCTTTGATCTGTATTCACTTTCAGCGATATTTTTGTATTTTTTGTTTCGGAAAATACATGTGTATCGTATTGTGATTTGATAGAAACTTGATTAAAATGGTGTTTGTGGAATATTCAGTATCCAGACTCTTCCTCACAGGTGATTGGTGTTTATTGATTTAATTTTGCTTCGAGAGATCCTTGTTATTGTTAAGATGCGACAACTGCCACCACAAATTTGAAATTTTCTACCTTGTTATGACCATCAAGAAATCATTTATTCCGGATCGCGACATTTTTTTTATCCCTTTATCCTGAAGAGGGGAAGATGTGGCTTCTAAGTGTGACTTCATGAATAATTTGAAGCAGTAATAATAATAACTTTATTGTTTCTCTTTTGTAACAGAGGCACAATCATTTAAGAGATGTACAACGAGAATTCACAATATAAGAATAATAATAACATATGTACATTTGTATTGCTATAGACGTTTCTTACTTAACTAATACACTGGGTAATTAATATTTATCAGTATTTTGTATTTTTCAATTAACTAATAACGAAAAGAAAGTATAATACACATCCCAAGAAATGAAACTCACGCCACCGCGCTCGACACAGTTCACAC